CCGTAGGTCTTTGCTCGCTTGAGTTTTGACTTTGAGTATGAAGTCCCCATCTTTGAGCGGATGGACCTTTGCTTTCCTATTTTCTACTCTTCTAACTCGTCTTTAGAGTAGTTCTATACGCCCATAATACTTCTGGCAATATCTCCGGCCACAATCATTTGGCGTCTTCGAGCTTTTTCTTCATGTTGTTTAATATGGACTTGTTGGAGGACTTTGCTTGTTCATTACCCGATGGGTGATATGGGGTCAAAAGTATCCTCCTAATATGTCATTTCTCAAAGAATTCAGCTGTTTTCTTTCCCATGAAATGGGGTCTGTTGTCATAGCTGATCTCCTTGGGTAGGCCGAACCGGCAGATGATGTTCCTCCATATAAAGGTGATTACTTCTTGTTCGCATATTTGGGAGAATGCTCCTACTTCCACCTATTTAGAGAAATAATTAGTTAAAACCAAAAAAGAATGGTACATTACCTCGCCCTGCTGGGAGGGGGCCCATGATGTCCATTTCCCAGTGGATGAATGACCACAGAGAGGTGACTGAGTGGAAGTGTTCGCCTTCTTGGTGAATCATTGGGGCGTACTTATGGAATTGTTCGCATTTCTTCACACGTTATACGTCATTCTTTTTCATGATGGGTCAATAGTATCCTGCCCGTATGAGGCATCTGACGAGTTCTCGATTGCCAGTGTGAGCCCCGTAATGGCTTTCACAGACTTCTTCGAGGATGCGCTGGGTTTGGTTTAGGCCCAAGCATTTTTCCAAAGGGTCAGTGTAAGTCCTCTTGTACAGGTCTCTATGGAGGAAATGTATCTGGCTACTAGAATTCTTAGTTTCTTGGCTTCTTTTTTGTCATTTGGGAGTGTGTCGTCCTGCAAATAGGCGATAATACGATTGCGCCAATCCCAAGTTAAGCTTACAGATCTTACCTCGACTTGTTCTAGTGATGAGTTGAGGAGGTGGACTATACTTTTATTGTTACACCCCATGTTTTCATATGTGGAAGTACGACATAAGTAAATTGATATAAGCTCGGAAATGAGATGCTATATCCCACATTTTCGTACGTCAAATTTTCATTGTAAGTTAATCGACGTAAGCTCGGTAATGAGATTATTTTGAGATTATTTGTATTATGATATTTCAAACAAGTGATAAGTAAATTCGTGAAGGTGAGAGGGTAAGCGAATCGAAGAAATTGAGTTTCGTCGAAGTTTGCCGATTTGGAATAAAATACGGTCCAAGCTATAATACCTCGTATTTATAGACTTGTGCCATACAAGGTACCATATGACCATGATAGTAAGGTATATAAAGTGTATTAAAGGTGACTACTATTTTAAGTAATTTGAGATAATTTTTAATTATTTGGATAATTGGGTAATTATGAATTTGTAAGTGGGAGATTAACTTGTAAATTGAATTTTGTGGATAATTATTTGGTATATAAGCTTAACACTTCACCAACATGGCAGCAAGGAGTCTAATTGTTAAGATCAAACAATGACTCCTTGGCTTAGATTGCTAGGTGGCACACTTATAGTATCAAGTGGGCCCACAACCACATTGATAAAAGGCCTTCCTAATCCATTTAATTGTGATGCTTATGACTACAAAGTAATGGATGATGTAATTCTCTAAAGGGATTCATATGGACCCTACAAGATCCAACGTGAATTGCAAATTCAAAAAAAGTTCAGTACAATCTTTCTCAAAAATATCATACGAATTTTCCTACTTTGATCCGTCGTTACGTATTTTCGCAAAAGACATGTGTTAGAGGGATTGTCAAGAGAATTGGTTCAGGTATGTTAAGGCTACCACTTCTTTCCTATTGGCATGATCCATATGATACAAACGAAACGAGCAAATGCACAACTTTTATAATTCACTGTATTCATAGAAAGAAATGCCTATGTTCTTGATTCCCCATATGCCCTATTATTCTATAATCTGTTCATGGGTCTCAGAAAATATGTAAGTTGATAAAGTTTACTTTATGAGATTAATCAAAGGCATAATGGTCTTATGACGTTCCGAGAGATTTTATTGACGTACTTCTCATGCATTGCCTTTATTTATGCATGTACATTGACCCATGACTAGATGGCGTTATATACGCGTATATGTATATGTATATATATGTATATGGGATATGAGAAAAGGTTACAACATTATATACGCACCACCACCTGATCAGCTGGTATACATTGATGATTTTTCCCATAGTGGCCGAGATGAAATAATGGGATGCCCTCAGAGGCTTGATGATATTATGAACGCATATAACTATGCATGGTATGATATTTATAGGCATATGCATGACATTATAAATATTAAATGATTCACATAGCTATGCAGGCTTACATGTTGAGTCTTTTACTCCGTGTTTCTCTCATGTCTATTATTTACTAGTTTTTATTCCTTACATACTCGATGCATTATTTGTACTGACATCCCTTTTGCTTGGGGACGCTGCGTTTCATGCCCACAGGTCCTGATAGACAGGTCGAGAGTCCTCCAAGTAGGCTATCAGCTCTACAGAAGATGTTGGTGCGCTCCATTTGCTCCGGAGTTGCTTATTTGGTCAGTATGATTTGGACGTGTATTGATTAGTACGGTTGGGCACTGTTCTGACCTTATGGTCACGATCTAATCTTAGAGGCTTGTAGACATATGTCATGTTTATGAAAGATTGTATGGCCTTATCGGTCTATTTTCAGTGTACGAGTGATCCTTTTGGCCTTGTAGGCCCATATGTCATATGTATAAGTTTGTATTACACGTTGGGTCGTCCTATGTCGAGTGTTCCCTCATGTTTCGCTCTAGTTATCTCACAACAGCCTTTCCGTTTCGTTTACCTATGATAATATTATACGAAAGATATGTTACGTTGGTACTCGGTTGAGTAAGGTACCAGGTGCCCGTCGCGGCTCATCGATCGTGAAATTTATCCCCAGTCGTGATGCTTTAGGTAGGTGCGGCAAATTTAGAGAGCCCATCTGTTTCAGCATTCTGTGCACGCGGGATCTAGTCGAGCTGACATTCGTCGAATTCGAGCAGCAGTTTACAGATCTCGGTATGATATTTTTGCTATCTTTGTTCTTTGATTTGGAAAGCCCCTATAACTTGGTTGACTACGAGTTGGGATTCATAATGGAGTTTTAACTACTTTTCCCCATACTTGAGTGCTTGACTCAATCCTGCAATTACGGCCTCATACTCGGCCTCATTGTTAGTCATAGCTGGGTATCTTATGGACTGGCAAATTAATTCGCCAGTAGGGACTTCAAGTATGAGTCGTAGTCCGGATCCGGATGTGTTGGATGCACCACCGGTGTACATGACCTAGAGGTCCTGTGTTTGGAGAGAGGTTTGGACGGCTTTTTTCTTGACTTTAGGCATTATTTTACATGATAGCTCGGGTTTATACAAAATTCCTCTTAGGGTAAAGGTGGTAACAACTGAGATAATGTGGCATTGGAAATAGGTTGTAAGCTTTCGTGAAGATATGACTAGTGCCAGTGCTAGTTTCTTGAGGTGTGGGTACCTCGTCTCGGGGTCGACGAGTGTTTTGCTAATGTAATAGATGGAAGATTGCATACCTTTAATTTCTCAAATCAGGACTGCACTTACTTCTACTTTGAAGATGGCCAGGTAGACGAGGATATGTTCCCCGGGTTCGGGCTATGAAAGCAGAGGTGGTAATGATAGATACACCTTCAGTTCTCGCAGAGCTTGTACGCATTCGGGTGTCCACTTGAGGCCTTTGTTTTTTTTAGCATGCCCAAAAATTTGTGACATCTACCAGACGACCGCGAGATGAATCTCGATAAGGCGGTGATTCGACCAGTCAACCTTTGGACTTGGTTCTTGGTAGTCAGGAGTTCCGGTGTCCCTTCGATAGCTTTGATTTGGTTTGGGTTGACCTTGATTCCCCGTTGTGATACTAAGAAACCCAAGAAAGTTCCAGAGGCTACACCAAACGTTCATTTCTCTGGGTTTAGTTTCATTACGTACTATCTTAGTATGTTGAAAACTCCCTTCAAATGGTCGATATGGTCCTCTGCCTTTATGGACTTGACTAGTATGTCATCGATATATACTTCCATAGTCTTGCCCAGCTGATCTTTAAACATCTTCGTGACCAACATTTGATTTGAAGCCCCTATGTTCTTCAGCTCAAATGGTATGACTTTGTAACAATATGTTCCTTGGTGGGTGATGAACATGGTTTTCTCTTGGTCCTCTTCTTCCATACGTATCTGGTTATAGCATGAGTACGCATCCCAGAAACTCAAAAACTCGTGCTAGGTTGTTGCGTTGATGAGTTGGTCGATATGTGGTAACGGGAACAAATCCTTCGGACATGCTTTGTTTAAGTCTGTGAAATCCACGCACATTCGCCATTTACCAATTTTATTTTTGACAATCACTACGTGGCGATCCATTTGGGGTACTTCAACTCCCTGATTGAGCCAATTTCTAACAGTTTCTCCACTTCCTCGTGGATGGCATCGTTGATGGCTGGACTGAATTTATGCCTGACCTAATTTATTAGTGGGTAGAATAGGTCAATGTTTAGTTTATATATGGATATATCTTTGGGGATGCCCGGTATATCTGCATGGCTAAAGGCAAACAAGTCTATATTAGTTATTAAGAATTGACTAAATTTACTTGATTCTCAGAGTTTGCAGCTGATGTAGGCCTTTTTGCTACAATCGCTTGGGTTTAATTGAATGGGGTCGAGGTCCTCTACGGTCGAGTCCGCGGCTTCGACCATCTCGGGATCCATGATGACCTTATTGATTGTTATGCCTCCTTTTCCTTATATATTTTCTGTTGGGTTGTTGTTTCATCTAAGGTGATGCAGTAGTTTTCCGAGATCGTTCGTTGTTCTCCTCGTATGCTGAATATCACCCAAGGTGCTGGGAATTTGATTACTTGGTATAAGCTCGAGGGGATGGCTCTCATGGGATGTATACACGGTCGTTCTACTTTGGCGTTGTACGTAGTGGCCTGGTCCATGATGTGGAATGTTGTCTCCAGCGTTACGCCGTCGGCCAAGATGGGAAGCGTAATTTCTCCTGACATCCGTTCAACTACATTATTAAAACCAGTTAGCATGATGCAGCGCGACACTATCTTGTCCTCGAGTCTCATTTGGGTGAGAACTCGGGGATGGATAATGCACGCTCCACTTCCATCATCCAACATGATACGTTTGACATTAGTATCTAAAATGTGCAAAGTAATGATGAGAGAATCATTATGAGGGAAAGTCAAACCGTCAATATCTGACTCGTCGAAAATGATACTTTCTTCAACTCTGTCATACCGTTCGCAGGTGATAGATCGTTTGAGCTTGTGAGTGGTGGTGAATTTAATGTCGTTGACGGAGGCGTCATCGCTACCGCCAATGATCGTGTTGATAGTAAGAGCTGGTGATGACGGCTTTGGCGGACCTTGGTGTTCACGTCCTCTAGAAAAGTTATTCCTACCCTTGTCGCTCAACAGCTCTTTGAGGTGTCCTTGCCGCAACATATTTAAAACTTCTTGCCTGAGGGAGATACAATCTTCTGTTTTGTGTCCGCGTTCCTAGTGGAACTTGTAGAGGGTGTTAGATTGTTTGGTGCTCGGATCGGACCTTATCTTTGGCGGCCACTTCACCTTTGTTGCGAGTTTCTCTAGAGCATAGACTATTTATATAGGTGATACACAAAAATTGTGATTAGATAATAAGGGGGCATCTCTTCATTCCGGTGAGTCCCTGTCCTCGGCCTGGATGTGACTTCTTCTTAGCGGAGGGAAGGTGGGACAGGGGCCCTGATATATGGCTAGTGTCATTTCCTGTTGGGTCGTGAGACCGGGTGATCTCTCCTAATGTTGTCTCTCCGTTATTTTCTGGACTCGACTTGTAATGAGATGAGCCAATGGGTTGGTCTGTTGAGGTCATCCTCATCTTCTCGGGCTTCGATACAGTAAGCATTATGGATCTCTTCCAATGTGGTTGGAGGATATTTCATCAATCGGATCAGTAGTTTTATATTTGCTCTCGAACCATCTCTACTCAACTCATTGCCGAAACCACCATCCCCTCAGACACGTTAGGCAGGGTCATCCTTAACCTATTGAATCGGGCGAGAAAGTCCCCCAGTCCCTCTCCCAAGGATGGCTTGATGGAAAATATGTCGTTTACTCTTGTTTCGGCCTTCTTGGCTCCGGCATGCACCGTTACCAACTTATCGGCCATTTCCTCGAAAGTTTCTATAGAGCGGGATGGTAGCTGTGAGTACCATATTAATGCTCCTCCGTTAAGGGTTTCACCAAACTTCTTCAGGAAAAAAGAGGAAACATTTTCCTTGGTGAGGTCGTTGCCTTTCAGGACGGTGACATAATAAGTCACATGATCTTCAGGATCAGTCGTTCCGTCATATATCATGAGGTAGGGCGGCATTTTGAAGGTCTTTAGTAAGGCATGCGATATTGCTTCTTCGATGTACGACTGCTCTACGAACCTACCGGCGTCCCTCTTTTGCAATATCTTAGGAGCGCCAGTATCTAGTCGACTCACTCTTGGTATTCTTTCGTTCGATCCCTGAGTGTTTTGTTTTCATTCTCCATTTCTTCCATCCTCTTTAAAACAGCAGCGAGGTCGCTATCACATGCATTATTAGTAACATTGTGAGTTATACCTGGTGTTGGAGAGTCTAGTTGGTCACCCTGTTCGTCTGCTCGTTGTATTGTATAGTTTCTTCCAATATCTGTAGTCATGCATGGAATGGGCTTGTTAAGCATGCTCACTAGCGTATCAGTTAGCCATGCTTCGAGGAGCTTTTTCATGGCTGGGGGTGTCCCTTCTTCTGTGGACGTGGAGGCTCTTTTTTCATTTGGTTTGTTATGCTACAATGGGGGGAGGCCACCTCTCGCGCCTGGGGGAGGCAGTGGGTGTCACGTCCTCACCTAATGTCTCATAACACTTGTTGGTAGCGTTCATAAGGGTGCTAGGGAAGTCACTAGTTACATTAGTCCTCTCACATTGGTTACCTACCATGTAGGTTTTTGTACGTGCAAAGAAAGAGGAAGATCTTGGGGTTTGTGAGGTTAGTGACTCACGTTAGCTGTAGATTTAAAGAAAACTAAAAATTAACTAAGAAATCCCCACAGACGGCGCCAAACTATTTGACCAAAAATATAAATTTTGACTCAACCAATTAGATTTGTATAAAGGAGAGTTAATCTTAGTTAAAAATAATATCCAAAAGACAAAACTACCGTTATCAAGATAAAATAACTAGTATATTTCATCCGGATAGTAATGAATATCAGCAATGATAACAATATGCAATGGTCTAAGAAGATGGAATATGGCGTTAAATAGAAATAACAACAACAACAATACAGTAAAATCCCACAAAGTACGGTCTGGGGAGGCTAGTACGTACGCAGACCTTACCCCTACCCCGATATGGCAGAGAGTTTGTTTTCGATAGACCCTTGGCTCAGGAATATGGAAATAAGACAAGAAGAGACAATTCATCAGTATCGTCAATAGAAACCATAGAAATAGTATCAGCATCATAAAAACCATAAATAGATGACATGCAATAACAATAACCAGCAAATAAGGCCCGGAGCTATGAAAAATAGTAAGGATAGTGTGGACTCTACATTAACCACAAGCCGTCTAAGATCAACCTTACCAAACTCGCTTCACCCCCGGTATGAAGAAGGAGAAGCTCGACTATTCCCTAGCCTACAACCCTAATGCTCGACCTCCAGACCTTCTTATCAAGGCCATATCCTCAAAAATATGCAATTGTGTCATGTCCTGCCTGATCACCTCTCCCCAATACTTCTTAGGCCGTCCTCTACCTCTTCTCGTACCCACCAAAGCCAACCGCTCGCACCTCCTCACCGAAGCATCAAGGCTTTTCCTCCGCACGTGCCCAAACCATCTGAGCCTTGCTTCCCGCATCTTGTCATCCACAGGGGCCACGCCCACCTTCTCCCGAGTATCTTCATTCCTAATCTTATCCATCCTTGTGTTCTCTCACATCCACCTCAACATCCTCATCTCTGCTACCTTCATCTTCTGGATATGAGAATCCTTAACTGGCTAACACTCTGTCCCACACAACATGGCCGGTCTAACCATCACTCGATAAAAGTTACCTTTGAGTATCGATGACACTTTCTTGTCACACAAGACTCCAAAAGCTAGCCTCCAATTCATCCACCCTACCCCTATACAGTGAGTAACGTCCTCGTCGATCTCTCTGTCCCCTTGTATAACCAACCCAAGGTACTTAAAACTACCTCTCTTGGAGATGACAGTGATCCAAGCCTCACGTCCATGCCTACTTCCCTCGACTCGGCACTGAACTTGCACTTCAGTTTCTCTGTCTTAGTCCTGCTTAACTTGAAACCCTTAGACTCGAGTGCCGGCAACTACACGTAAATAGTAGTAAATGAAATTTAAGTAAATAAAATGTGTGAGTCACCCGAAAACGGATAGGATAAGTGGTTATTCCCTGTGACAATGATGAATGATTGATAAGCCTTTGAACACTAGGTTGTTCTTGGATCCGGTGGAAGTTCTAGACAAGAATCTTAGTTAAAAAGGTTATTTTTTTATGCTTGCAATAGGACCAGTTTCTCTCTGTAAAGTCAATGTGCTTTTTACAAAATGAATATCTCATGTCCCCTATCATTGTGACTTTTTCTATTTATAGGGAACATGTTCCTAATATATTAATAGTACAAGTGCAGAGAATATCCACTAAAATATTCTCTTTAATGTCCTATCTTGAAACTAGCTGTTATAACTCTGTCAAAGATGTTCGACCTCGACCTCGATCTTTGATGACTCCTCGACCTTAATCATTGCTGACTTCTCGACCGCAACATTTATTGTTTCTAGAGCCATTTCGACCCTAGGAAGATTCCTATTAGAGTCGCATTGGTGACACATGGCGGCCTGTGAACGCCTCATTAATGACATTATGACTTAAGCATATTAGAGATAATTTTTGACCTGTAGAAGCTACTCAATTTTTGACCTATACAAATTACAAGCTACTCGTCTTTTTACAGGTTTCATTTATATATCTGTTGCATAGAACCATAAGCTATTTAACTTGAGGAAAAGAATATGTATGATTGAGGAAGCCGGCAAACAAAAACCTTTTGTTGTATAATAAAGATTGTAATAAATCACGATACTGACGCTAAGTTGAGCAGAGAGCCAAAACGTTTTAATAGAAAAAAGCCAAAACATAAGCAATCACTCATATTAGCCCAGCAGATGATGTTTGTACCCATGGGAAACAGAAACAAACTGAAGAAACATTAAACTATGACATTTTTTATCTTAATGACTAGAAAAATGGCAAATGTAGCAGCAGAACAAAGACATGAGGTGATGAGATGAATCTGAGTCAAGACTTGACAATATAATTTTGGCGTCTGATGGGGTTCATAACCACGGGAGGACCAGCAGTTAAAGGCCACGCCTGGAATTTTTTGTCCGTCTCTTTCCACCATTCATCGGTAGCAACGGTCTTTGGAGTAGTACCTGTTTTCAATTAAATGACACAAAATAACTATAGTGTATGTCTCAATCCCAACCGATCCATGTTGATCCATTTAAGTCAGTCTTGGATCATGCTCTAGCTCTAGAAATTCTTCACATTTAATTAAAGGGCTAAACAGATAGAGGAATAGAAACTTGCCTCCAAACAACTTATGGTCAGAAGTAGCAGTGTCACAAACGTATGCAAAAGCAAAGGATGCAACCACAGAACCAACAATGTACTTCAGTGCCATTATATTGTCAAACTCCAACAACTGCAAATGAAAACAGGGAAAGAAATATATAGACAGACACCAATATTCATGTTTAGCAAATGATGAAAATCTTCTTCCAGAACAATGTTCACAATCTATGTTAAATATCTGTAAATGGCTCCAAATACAAATCTCTTTTTCAAATATGGAAAAAAGAAAATTGGCAAATTCAACAAGGAAAAATGAAGTTTCTTTTTCAATCAACCAACTGCACTCAATCTCCAGGTACAGTGGCGAAGCCACATGCATTGATCCCTTCACCTGAAAGTTACACGGCGTAAATAAGGTAAAATTATTTTTTTTATACATACATACAATTTGAATACCCTTAACCTTAACATTTTTGGATTTTTTGAAAATCCCCTTATCAGAATCCTGTTGGCTCCGCCATTGGGGACAATAGTGTAGATCCTTTGTATATCTATTTTGCGCTATTTATTTACGACCAAAAATGAACGTTCTTTCGATTTTAAGCAGCTTTAGCAAATTAAACACAGTACTAATAAGATCTACAACACACCATGCAGAAAAAAGTACAAACTTGTTAGGTGTTAGCCATAATTTTCTTACGATAGTTGGTTTTTCTGTTTGTTGAAGGAGAGGGAAACATGTTTACCTTAATTGGGTTTTCCTTCTTGTAGAAGGAAATTACAAGTCTCCCATATTTGGCTAGTCCTTTTTCTTGTAGGAAAAGGTTTGGAGTTCTATAAATTGAAGATCCGTCTTTCTCATTCAGTAGCATCCACAATGTAGCCATATGGGGTTTGAGAGTCGTGTTTATGAGGAGAACTTTACGGGACAAGTGTTAGTGTGTCACTTGTGTTTGCCTCTTCGTGAGGTTGTTCTCTCGATATTTTGTACTCTCTTTTTATATAGTGGATTGCTCATCTCTGTCGTGGGCGTTGGTCAGTTGACTAAACCACATTAAATGTTTGTGTCTCTTTTGGTATATTTCTCTTTGTTGTATGATTTATCGTCGTTCAAGGTTTACATTGCTAGCTTCCGCATGACACCAGACTTTTTCGGTCCGAACAAGTGGTATCAGAGCGAGGTTCAAACAGGTTCATCTTGGCAGGTTCAGTTCTAGCCGCATCATATTTGACGATAATCATTATATTTGTCTGAGAAATTTGACCAGTGTGCTACGCACGTTGAGACAAACTTCGTGGTGGAGATTTGGAGATGCGACCTGTTGAAGACTATGTGAAGAAGGTGGATAAAGTTTATTTTGTAAGAAAATTCAGGCCAAGGGGGAGAATTGTTAGGTGTTTGCCATAATTTTCTTACCATAGTTGGTTTTCCTGTTTGTTGAAGGAAAGGGCAACATGTTTATCCTAATTGGGTTTTCCTTCTTGTAGAAGGAAATTACAAATCTCTCATATTTGGTTAGTCCTTTTTCTTGTAGGAAAAAGTTTGGAGTTCTATAAATTGAAGACCCATCTTTCTCATTCAGTAGCATCTACAATGTAGCCATATGGAGTTTGAGAGTCGTGTTTAGGGGGAGAATTTTACGGGACAAGTGTTAGTGTGGCACTTGTGTTTGCCTCTTCGTGAGGTTGTTCTCTCGATATTTTGTACTCTCTTTTTATATAGTGGATTGCTCATCTCTGCCGTGGACATAGGTCAGTTGACCGAACCACGTTATATTTTTGTGTCTCTTTTGGTATATTTCTCTTTGTTGTATGATTTATCGTCGTTCAACGTTTGCGTTGCTAGCTTCCGCATGACACCAGCCCTTTTCGGTCCTAACAAAACTAACCATAGGCCCATAACTAACGTTGTGAAAAGCAGTGGTAGATGGAGTTTTTGTGCAATGAGCTTAACATAACTCAGTATTTTTTTGTGATTATAGATACATATGTTAAAAATTACTAAAATTTTGATAATGATTAAGTATAATTCCATAAATATAATGAGTTTTAATACGAAGAATCTTAAAGATTAAACTTAAATCACCCTTGCTGAAAAGAGGCAAATAACTTGCATGCCAACTACTCATATGTGACACACGCCCCGCGCGCGCACACCGTAAATCATCCTGTTCTACCGTTTCCATGCATGTATAGTAAGAAGAAGGAGGGGGTAAGGGGCAACTTACTGCGATGAAGTGATCAATCAGAATAGAGGAAAAGTCCCAACAATAATGATCTTCTTCTTCGTTGAAAACTAAAGCTATGGAGACTTGCTTTTGAAAATGACTTGCTGAAATGTATCTTCACTTTCCATCAGTACCGATCCTTGCCCTATAAATGATACTTTAAACTTCCAAAATAGTTTGCTCTTATCTTATAGTAAGTATTCATAAATAAACATTGCTGGTCAATAAATTTCTCATTGGAATTTCTTTTGCTATATTAATTGTGTGATACGAATATCTGTTCCCAAGCCGACTGTGATTGACTAATAAATTATACTAGCTCCTTTAGTTTATACTCCACGATAACTGTTGAAAGGAAGAAGGTTATTTAAAGTGATGCGGTTATAGTATTTTATCTAACTGTTAACTTGCGCCATTTCTATTTGTATCATTGCAGAAACTGAACAAGGTGTTACTCAAGCGATCATTCGTTCTGTTGTGAATTTCAAAAGGGACCCTTGGCCTAAGGTCTCCGACAATGCAAAAGACCTTGTGAAGAAGAGTTGGGATATTTGAAACTTGGCCATCAAATTCCTGAAAGTGATGTACATATTCTTATGGATGTTGTAAGTGTTAAAATGATAAAGATGGATATTTGGACTATGGGGAATTTGTTGCCATTTCAGTCCACCTAAGAAAGATGGCTAATGATGAGCACCTGAAAAAGGCGTTTGAATTTTTTGATAAGAACCAAAGTGGCTATATAGAGATTGAGGAGTTGAGGGAGGCCTTAGCTGACGAGATTGAAACCAACAGCGAAGAAGTTATCAATGCTATTATGCACCATGTGGACACAGACAAGGTCAGTAATATATTCATGTCATAAACTCATCGGGCCTCTTTCCTTGTATGTTTTGTTTACTTGGGGATGATGCCGTGTTGATTCTATGGACCTGGGATTGGGAAAAAGAAAATGGTGTCGTCTGTTTTATGTTCTTACATTTCATTCTCATGCAGGACGGACGGATAAGTTACGATGAATTCTCTACAATGATGAAGACTGGCACAGATTGGAGGAAGGCGTCAAGACAGTATTCACGAGAACGATATAATAGTCTCAGCTTGAAATTAATGAAGAATGGTTCCTTACAAATGAACAATGAGACTAGATAACTTAAGGCAGAGTATGAAATCTCGAAGAACAGAACTCGCCTTTTGGCTTTCAGAATTTTTATATTCTTTCCTGTTCAACGATAATTTTGCCATTTTTTGTTGTATGTGTGATTTCACCTCTGGGGTGGATAAGTATCAGGTACCCAATATTCATGTATTCTTTAAGTTGTGATTATGTTGTTCTTTTCGGTTTTTTTATCGACAATTTGAAGAAATATGGTGAAGGATAGAAAGGTGGTTATTTTGTTATTGTATATAGGTTGGCATGTATCATTGTATTTAGTTATGTAGACTAATTATTTCAACTCGTTCCTTTTTTCCTTTTTTTTTTTTTGTCATGGGGTTGGATATGACACCCAGTATGTTTTGTAACATAATGTTTGAGGTGATATTAATCGTCCCACAGAGCACAAGTGATCATGAATGAGGTGTTACATTTCCATACATTACTAGCAAATAAAAAGTAATAATTCTTTATCAAATCTTGTTTAATACATTATACATTAATCAAAACTACCTACATTAAAAACCAAGAAGCAGAGTACATAGAGTGAATTAAAAATAGAGACTACTGTCAGTTGCTTCCTATTTTCTCTTGGTCTCTTTCTTATGTGCATCAGCTTGTCTCTTGCTAATGACTTCATTCTAGAAGCCTGCCTACTGAGTCTGAGTGGGCATCCAACCTAAGTCTGCTGCAATAACATCATCATCATCAGAACCCAATAATTCCTCCATTGTGAAGCACTCGTCGCTGCTTATAACTAAGCATGGCTCAGCATAATAATCTGATGATGTTAGCATATCAGTAAAAGTGATAGGTGCCCTCTCTTCAATGTTGTGCACTTGCTTTATTGACCACTGATCAGACACAAATCCAGCATCAATGTTTTCTTCATTAACCATTGAAGTACTACTTCCTTGAGCCATTTGACACATGATGTTCTGCTCATCAATGCAGATAGGCAACTGGGGTTCTGCAGTATTTGATTTTANAACTGGGTTCTGCAGTATTTGATTTTTCTGCTAGCAAACTACCGAGGTACTCGTACACTTTCATATCCACATGATCAATATTGTTCATTATCTCAGCCAATGTTGATGGAACAGTAGCCCTATCATCGCATTCAATATTACTATGGTATTGTTGCAACTGAAAGCCATTATTATCAGGCGAGTAGTATGTGAATTGATTTGAAGTTGTCGAAGAACTTCCAACAGATTCAACATGACTTTGAACTGAAGGTGCCAGCTCTTCAATATTCTGCGCTTGTACATCCACTAATTGCAACTGATCAAACGCATTATTATGTTCGGATGATGAGAATTGATTTGAAGGACACAAATCATGAACACCTGTCCCTTGATCCTCTGAAGAATTTGTAACATAGTCATGTTCTTGAGTTGTCGAAAGCATGGTATTCATAACAGCAACAACGTTGTTTCCACTGTCCGCTATTTCCATATGATCACCTAATTCCTTATGATCATTAGCATGTACAGATTTACGCTTAATGCAGCACAAAACATAGGCCTCATGCTGAATTATATTTCGTTGTCTTAACACCTTTACTGTGTTGTCATTAAGACTATACTCTTTCATATTCCAAACAATATTTTTAATTCCTTGATCGACACTTTTCTCCGTGCGGCTGTCTTTTTCAAGATATCGAAAACTTTTCTTGAACCCAACCAACTTTGACCCATTAAAAACTGGTTTGTGTTTGTCAAGTCCTTTCCAACAGCCTCCTCCGATCAGCCCTCGACTGAACCTTGAACCACCCGCTTTTGTTCTCTTCAACTTAGTAATGAAATAGTTTACCTTTGTATCATCTCCCAGAAAATTGTTTTCGAATATATCCCATGGCTTCTTATTCCCGTAAAGATCCTCAACTCGAATATGATCAAACGAGAAACTCTTGCACGAAACGAATTTGAGTAGATAGCGAATAAGCTCTTCATCAGTGGGTCGAAACCTGAATCCCAGTACTGGATATGGACCATAATTATGGCTGCTGATAGTCATGTTTTTTGTTTTCAGTGGAAGAAATTAGCCTGAAAACAGAAAGGAAATACTTTCAGGAACACTCTTCAAGAATGAATAGGAAAACAACAAAGGAAATACTTTCAAGAACACTCTTCAAGAATGAATAGGAAAACAATAAAGGAAATACCTTCAAGAATGGTACTGAACAAAGGGACTGCTGAGGGTTTAATGTAATGTAATAAAGTTGTTGCCTATTGGTACTACTTATATAGGTAGGGTTGAGCTCTAGGCGCGGGAAGCAACAAAAGGCCGACTTTAGTAAGAATTAGGAAATTTTCAATTCCACAGTTCTACAAATTTGTAATAAACGTAATGAAAACGCAAATACTGAAAAGCTTTTACCTTTATTTCTCTTTTCTAAATTTATTGAATTTAATATGTATGAATTTTTAATTTATTTCGTTTTGAATGTGTGACTTCAGTTTATTTAATTTATTTGATTACACATACACCCTTATATTTCAAAATTAAATACTTAAGCCCCCTCCCCTAATGAAAATATTAATATAAGTTAATGTTTGTGTATATGATTTTGTTGTACAAGCTAGGGTTAAGTGGCTGATTTTGAAATATATTCCGGTAGTTGGTTATGTTATAGGGGTATTCAATGTGATACTCTAATTATTTTAACCGTGAATTGTTTTTTTTGATTTGTAAATAACAGACAACTAAAATAAAAACCATCTTTAAGTAAAACTTTAAATGAAGTAATTATCAAAACTTAAAAGCTAATATAATAAATATATGCCTATAAATGATATTATATTTGGCATTTAAGATGTATACATTTCGTGAATATACATCAATTAGTAATTATATATTTATAACTAATATTGTAAAACTAATTCATATATATATATATATTCAAATTAATACTATTTTATTTAGATACTTACAAAAACTAAAAACATACATTTTGTAAGAACATTATGGAATTCATGTTTGATAAAATAAATTAATATTTATAAATATAATGTCATAACATTATTCAAAAATTTGATAAAAGTAATCTATCAATTCTAACTAAAAAATGAACAACATGCAATGTGAGCCAATATTACTAAAATAAGTAAAAAAAAATTAATAAAAGAAAAGAAAAATACAACAATTAGGAAAAGTACAAATAAGGGGGACAATAGCACCAGTTTTGTTACTCATATGTCTTGGCTATATAATCACTCCTCTGCGCCTCACATTGCCTTATGATAGCAGCCTCATGTAGAGGATTCATGGTGTAGCTGCCGGCAAAGTCTCACGAGGGCATCCGTGTGGATATTTTCCAAAGGCATAGGACCAAGGCAACACAAACCGGGCTAAACCTTACCTTACTTATCCTATTGAGGCTTATAATAGCCTCGTCTACTAGCAAGCATGTAAAAAATATGAAGTTGAAAGGACCAAATATTCTATGATCATCACAGAGTTTATAACATACTCTGTGATGATATTACAGGTGAGGATACTAAGAAAATGGTAAAATAAAATGTAGTACCAATGTGATTCTTGTCCCTTCTTTTCCAAACTTGAAAAATCTTCAATTTGTAATTCTTTGTCGTTTTCCTCAACCCTGTGCAAAATGTATTCAAAAAACATCATTTCCTTTTTGAACGGCTGGACCTCGTAGAAGTAGTTGGGGCAGCCTGCTTTTGTTTGGCAACTCTCATGGAAGTCGCCTAACAATTCCTTCCTCACTCACCTTGTCGTCCCAGCTTTTATCTCTTGTACGAATGTTGTGATTTGGTCTGATGCACGAGGGTGATAAATCTTGTTGCTTACACAGTGCAAACATTGGATCGTCCTCTCTTGCTAAATTCAAGTCAATCCCCAAATTCACATATTGTGGAGCATTGGCACTCAGAATTGATTCCAAATACATTCTCTCATCGTCTGACATAAATTGACTGATTGTAGCAATTAGCTTCTGTCCAGATGTTGGTGCTGTGACTTGTCTATCACCTATAGGACTAGCAGCTGGAATAAGTTGTTGTTGTCTAACATATGTCGAAGTCGATGCCAATTTGGACATTTTAGTTGCTTTTTGACCATAAGTATGTATAACAGATGAATTGTTTGGATCAAGCTGTTGCTGTCCAGATTGATTTGCGTCTAGAACTACAATCGAGTTGGCTTCAGGTACATTTGTGCCATTTCGCTGCTGCATCGTGTCGAGCCAAATTCTTTCCTTGTGTTGCTGCCCATTTTTTGTCCCCTGACTTACTGACTGTGGACTGTTTTCAATTAGCTGTTGCTGAATATAACATAATTTTAAAATCCAATTTTTTTTTACATATGTCAAATTCTAACATAATAATAGTAAGCTCCACTACAACTTAAGATTAGGAAACATCATAAGTTTATAACCATATCAAACAAGGAAATTTGACTTTTATTGCTTCACTCATTATATGCCAAGTTTGTTAATGACTATTAGGAGGTGTAGCTTCAGGAAATAGAATAATAAAATAAATAAAAAATAAAAAATAAGAAATTACATGAAATCACAAGAAGTAGAGGTAGAGAAATAAAAGATAAATAATATAAAGAAAAATATATTTTAAAATAAAAAAGTAAAAAAAAATTAAAAAAATTTAAAAAATAGAAATAAAAAGTTATAAAGAAAATAAATAAAAAGGAAAGAAACTAAAAGGCAACCTTGTAATTACATAGTGTAATTACCACCAATTCTCACCTTGTGATTTCCCAAAATATCATCTCTTGTTTTAGAAGTCAAATTTGTATTCTGATACCTTAAAAAACCTCCTTTTGTCTCTCCTCGATTTGTGTGCGCAGTCCGGGTGTATATCTGAAAAGCCCTTATGTGAAATTTTGTTTAAGAAAAATATTGAATTTTGTATTTAAAATTGATTAAAGTTGACTTCAGTCAATATTTTTGGCAAACGAACCCGAACCCGTAATTTGATGGTCCCGTAGGGTCCGTAATAAATTATGAGACTTGGGCGTATGTCCGGAATCGCATTCCGAGGTCCTAGCCCGGGTAATGAATTTTTGAAGAAAATTGTTTGCTGAAAAATACAAGGATATTTAGAAATGGAATAGTGTGTGACCTCATTGGTATCGGGTCCGTGTTGTCACGATCCAAAATCTACTAAGGGTCATGATGATACCGGACGCCGCTGTCAGGCAAGCAAACCATAAATACTTAATTAAATTCTCATTTAAACAATTGTGAAAAACTCTGATTTTTTTCTTCAATTTTTACTAGTGAAAGATACTTAGTTCAAACTAAATATACATGTCAAGAAGTCAATACAAAATATCCCATAACTATCCCAGAACCCGGTGTCACAAGTGCATGAGCTATTTCTAGTAAGCAATACAATACCACAACTGTCCAAAATACAAATTGGACAGAAAATAAATACAATAATCTGGAAGAGACTCTGCTGGCTGCGAGTCGTCTCGAGAAGTGCAGCTCACCTAAGTCTCTGCATCAACCATGCTGCTACGCCGCCAGGCGACTAGTGATGCATGTGCCTGTGAAACAAAAATGCACAGCAAGTGTAGTATGAGTACGAAAACAACGTGTACCCAATGAGTATCCCGCCTAATCTCGAAGAAGTAAAGACGAGAGGTCGACTTCGACACTTACTAATGGTTCAATAATGATATGTTCGTAATATAATGAATCGAGGATTTATATAAACATGATTGTAATTCAATAGAGGGAAACATATAAACAATTCTTTCTTTTATGTGAAGTTCCCAAAATTTCCTTTTTCATCATTTATACAAATATTCTCAAGCCGGGAAGAGGCAATAACAACTTCAATAAGTTTCAAGGCAAGCAATACAAGCATGCACAAATCATGCCGAGGTCGTACAACCCGATCCAATAATATTTAAACTGTGTACTGCCAGAGGGTCGAATGGCACGAACCATAGATGCATCTATTTAATCTACCGAGGCATTCGGCCCGTTTCAGAATTTAAACACACACAAACAGTCAGTTAAGAAGTCATCAGGAAACAATTGTCCAAAGAAAACCAATTCTCTTTTAACAATTTAAGAAAATGAAGTTTAAATAATTTTTTTTTGAAATTCATGTACTAATTCGATGCGATTTATGCAATTCAAACTGTCAATAAGATTACAAATAATCCAAGTATTGCATGCTTTTGGGTTCTAGACTACTCGGACTTAAATATAATAGTAGCTACGCACGGACTCTCGTTACCTCGTGCGTACGTAGCCCCTACAATTAAAAGCACATATTCAATTATTTCACCTATGGGGATAATTCCCTCTTACAAGATTAGAAAGGAGGTTCACCTTGCTCCGAAGATCCATAACTGGCATTCCACGCTCCTCCGAAGACTCGAATCGATACACAATGCTCCAAAACTAGCCAATAATTATGCAAATGCATTAATATATGTTTAATTACTCATTACAATCCAATATATAACAATTCCTAACCTCGATCGAAAAGTTGACAATATTGCCCTTGGGCCCACGTGCCTGGATTCTGAAATTTTTCGAAGATGAAGTTTACCCATGAACTCACGAACTCAAATATATGATTTTTTCCTAATTTCATACCCAAAATAGTGGTCAAATTCCAAGAATATTGTTACACCCCATATTTTCGTACATGAAAAATACGCCATAAATAAATTAATGAGAGCCCAGAAGTGAGCTGTCATGTCCCGCTGTTTGATATTACAACGATGTTGCACCCTGTAGTGTTGTACGTTAAATTTGTCGTAAGGTAATTGACATCAGTCCAAGGAAAAGATTACTTGGAGATTATAAGGATCATGCTATTTCAAACAAGTAATAAGTAAATTCGTAAAAAAGGGGAAGCAAGTCAAAGAAAACGAATTTTTGTCCAAGTTTGGCATGTTGGGATAAAATACGGCTCAAGTTAAAATACTCGGTATTTATGGACTAGTACCATTCAAGGTACTACATGACCATGATAGTAAGGTGTATAAGGTGTGTTAAAAGTGAATAGTAT